CCCCCCCTGGGCCCGTCGGGCCAGGGGTCCAGCCCAGTCCCCCTAGGCCAGGGATCCAGCCCAGCCCCCCTTGGGCCATCGGGTCAGGGGTCCAGCCCAGTCCCCCTAGGCCAGGGATCCAGCCCAGCCCCCCTCTGGCCAGGGGTCCAGCCCAGCCCCCCTCGGCAAGGGATCCAGCCCAGCGCCCCCGCAGACGGGACCCAGAGTTTCCCCACTGCTCACTCCATGGGTAGAAGAATCCCTGGATTCCATTGCCGTCTGTGAGAGGAAAGGGGTGGTGAGGGGCCCCCTCGCCCCTGCCCACCCTTCGCCCCCTGCCCTTCCTCTCGCCCACCCCTCGCCCTCACCTGCTGAGCCCTGCAGTAGCAGGATCAGGCCCAGCGCTGGGATCCCAGGGCCCACCATGTCGCCTGCCCTGAGCTCTGAGGCGTCTGTGGGCAGAGGCCTTGAGGACATCACCCTGGCGACCGCCCCGCCCCGCTGCACCCCCAAGATTCTGAGTTCTGTTGCTGGGCAGCCCCCCAGCAAGGGAGGTGGGAAGGGCGCTGCCAGCTGTGCTGGGGTGCTTCTTTAGCGACCAGGGGAAGAGGCACTGGGCGGTCGCGGGCTTCAGAAGAGCCTCCTTAGCCACCTGGGGGTGGGGCTGACCTGGAAAGGGCCTGGGGCCTGGGGTCTCTATGGCCCCGGGGTTCTGCGGGGAATCTGGGGGCCTCTTAGGAGAGGCCCTTTCCTTTGCATGCCGACGTCTGGGCAGGCAGCTCTGGGTGGCTCTGAGGCTCCTGAAACCCCACTGTTGCTAGGGGTCTCCCCTTAGCAACCAGAGGAAGGGGCTGGACAGACCCGAGGCTTCACTGAGCCCCATTGTTAGGGAAGGCCCCCTACAACCAGGAGACCTAGAGGGAAAGCTGGGGGGGCCAGAGCACCTGCCGAACCACTCCTCCCTACACCCACCCAGGTGCCAGCCGGGGCAGGGATGCCCCAGCCTCCCCAGTTGAGCTTCCCTGTAAACTGGAGCTGTCAGCGGAGCCCCCAGCTGTCTGTGGGTTTCCTCCAGTGCTGAAGAGGGGCAGGGCGCAGGATTGTGACCCTGGGCCCCGCTCAGTGCCTGCTCAGGGCATCGTGGACAGCAGGGGTCTCGGCCCTGCAGGGCTCCTCTGGGGCCTGGCCTCCTGGCTCTGCCCCGAGCCGACAGGGTGGGGGTCCGCCTCCCAGACTGCGGGAGGAGGGGCCGGGCGGCCTGCCCAGAAGCCCAGTCCTCCTTTCTGGGAAGGCTGGGGAGATCCCCGTCACCCCTCCCTCCTGTAAACATCCTGGTGGGTGCTGAGCGGCCCGGCTGCCCCCCAGGCTGCCTCCGTCAGAGATGACACAGGTGGGGGCCCAGCAGGGGGCCGGGCTGCGGGGTCAGAGGGGCTTGGGGCCCAGGCGGCAGCTGCTGACCGCTTCCTGTGTCAACACCCTCCGGACCCACTTCCCAATTCCCGGGATTCCGCAGGGATCAAGGAGGGGGTGGGGGGCGGGGCCGCCCTCCTGGACGGAGGTTTGGTCCTGGGGAGGCCCCGCCGTCGAGGCCCTCACCGCTAATAACAGGTTCGGGCTGCCTCTGTGGCTGGCCTGCCCGTCACCCCCCCAAGGCCAGACAGGACCCCCCAGGGACAGACAGACGGACACACACAGCCCTGGACCTGCTGACCTCACACCCGCCAGCCCCGCGTGCCGCCCCACCCCAGGTCACCGGCATCCCCCAGTCCTGGTCCCCCTGGTCCCCGCGGCCATCGCTTATGCCCCTCTGGCTCCCCTG